ACGAGAATTAAACATATCCGTTAAATCAGTTTTAGTTTTTCCGATACCATAAGTTTACATGCCGAACAACAACAAATTCAAAACTGATCAAAATGACCGAACGTAATAAAAAAACAAATCTGCTTTCCAGTCCAGCAACAGGCGGACAAGAGCCTACGCAAGCTTAAATATAATATGGGAGAATTCGTAAATACGTAGAGTGAAATCTTTTCACTTGTCTCTGATCACTCTCAGATTTAATCATGTAATGGCGGCGCTTCGCGCTGTGCAAAATCAAATTCGGACTCTTTGACTCACACTGTTTAAATTTGAATGTTCCTCCTTGAATGTTGTTGGCTTTCTGATGTTAAATTTACTTCCTCGGTTTCTTAAATGGCCATTGATTCTCAAACGGAAGTTCTAGCGCTCAAGATGTTGGATATATTCCGCTGCTGTTTTTCCGAAAGTGAACCAAAACGGGAAGCCGAAGCCAGTGTTTAGGCCAGAGCATGCCATTGCGGGAATCCCGCGTTACAATCAGAGATGGCCCCCAGAAAAACGAAAAAGGGGCCAAATTGGCCCTTTCCTTTTACAAGACTGCAGGCTTAACACAGGCATAATATTTTCAAAGCCATCCCAGGGCTGGAAATTGTGATCGATACGGTTGCCAATGCAACAAGCATTTCATCCTTGGCAACCAAAAATTCTGGTTTAGTCGCCATAGTACGGCATAATGGCGACTACATTTCTCTGTGTCGATGATCAATAACAGTTATTTTGTTACACATTATTGTCCTTCTAGAAAATCATATTGAAAGATCTCTGTTTTTAAAACATTCAACATGAGAAAAGAAGTCAATCCGTCCTTTTGCTTTACTGTATTGATTCTCTTGTATCATAAAACTTCCAAATCGCTGACCGAGTTTGAAATCGCCCTATAATGCATTGCAAACCCTTGATCATTGACTACGTCATGTGGGCCTAAGGATTGTTCTCTTTTAAGGGGCTATGGTACCCTAAAATATGGCGATGTTCATGAAAAATTCAATTTCTTGGAAATACAAGACTTAAGACC